AAGACACCTCGTGACAGCTGCTGCTGCTGCTGTTGCACAAGTAACAGAAGCAGTGAACTCTACAGCTGAACCAGCAGCAGCAACACCAGCAGCAGCAGCAGATGCAACAGCAGCAGCAGCAGCAGCAGCTGCTGCTGCTGCTGCAGCAACGGCAGCAGCAGCAACAGAACCTTCAACTCTCACCACCGCCACAGCAGCAGCAGCAGCAGCAGCAGAGGCTCCCACTCTCACCGCAGCAGCAGCGGCTCCTGCAGCAGCAGCAGCAACAGCACAGTACGAAACTGCTGCAGCAGCAGTAGCAACAACAACAGCAACAGCAGCAACAGCAGCAGCAGCAGCAGCAGTGCATGCACCTTCTGCTTCTCTCTCTTCTTCTTTGCCCCCCCCCCAAGGCAGCTCAGATATCCTTTCGTCTCCGCTGCAGCAAGCAGCAGCAACAACCATCTCCCGCAGCAGCAGCAGCAGCATCAGCAGCAGCAGCAGTAGCAGCAGCAGCAGCAGCAGCAGCAGCAGCAGCAGCAGCAGGGGCGACAGCAACAGCCTAGTCTTAGTAACCCGTCGGAGCGTCCGCAGCAGCAGCAGCAGCAGCACCCCGCCCCCTCCCCCTCCCAACCCGAGCAACCGCAGCAACCGCAGCAACGGCAGCAACCCCAGCAGCAGCAGCAGCAGCAGCAGCAGCAGCAGCAGCAGCAGCAGCAGGAGCATGCTGTGTTGCATGCAGCGTGAGCTGATGTGTTGTATATGTTTAGATATATTATGTTTGCCTGTAACTGTCTCCTGCGGCCATTCTTTTTGTCGATACTGCATCAGCAACAATAAAATAATAAATAAAAACAAATGCCCTTTATGTAGAAAAAATATAAATAAAGAGTTTAATATCAATACTGTACTCTGCAGCATACTTGCTGCTGTTGCACGCATGCAGCAGCAGCAGCAGCAGCAGCAGCAGCAGCAGCAGCAGCAGAAGCGGCAGCAGGGGGGAGAGGGGAGAGAGAGAGAAACGGAGAAAGAGAGAGAGCGAGATGAGTTGCTGCTGCAGCATCGACTGTCTCCTTTCAGCAGCACAGCAGCAACAGCAACAGCAGCAGCAGCAGCAGCAGCAGCAGCAGCAGGAGCAGCAGCAGGAGCAGCAGCAGGAGAAAGATATATAAACAAAGACAGATGGAGACAAATATTTATAAAACCCTTCGTTGCTGCTTCTCTCGCTATTCGGCTGCTGCTGCCGCATGTAGCAGCAGAGAATAAACTTTTTTTGT